TCAGCGCGTTGGATATGAGATGATAGATAGCCAACGAGGCGCGTAGCGCCGAGTTGGCTATAATCATCTCATATCCAACAAGCGCGAGTGGAATAATTGTTTTATTAAAAACGCCCCCAAGATATGAGACAAATTTTACCAAATCTTAAATTTTTTAGCTCCCTTTTAATTCTAAGCTGACGCGTAAGCTTGCCATATTTGTAGATTATGGTATATTGGCTGATATACCATAATGGCTAAGCCAATAAAAAGTCTTGAATTCCATTATCCAATGATCCAGTTTTTAATAATATGACTTATACTTTGACATGCAAATGTTCTTCAAGTGAAGAAGTATACCTCGCAAGTGAGCTCCAATCAAAAAATCTCAAAAAATAAAAAAAAAGCTGACTAGTGTAAGTGTAATAAACAATGCTGTATTAAATAAAAAAAAATAAAAAAAAATAAAAAAAAAAAGCTGACTAGAATTCAGGCTCCGACGGGACTTGAAACCGTGCCCCTCTTTAATTGCAACTCACCATTTCCTCCTCACTTGACTATCATTCGAGTGTCGAATATGATTTATTTAACTGTGGTTAAAGTGTCTGTTCAAAATCAAATGAAGCTGAAAAAGTAGTGTCCCACTTAGAGCTAACTTGACAACTGGACATGTATTGAGATATAACCAAACACTGCAAATGCCTGTTTTACAGAAAAATGTCGTGTAATAGAATTTCCAAGTTACCTTTCCATCGTTGGGAAACGCTTGATTAATCACGTGATAAGAACCATGTCGGACATGGACCAGGACACATGCGAGTGGCAGTGTTACCTGGATCACAACTGCGTCAGCATAAACTTACAGTTTGAAGGAACACAAAAAAACTGCGAGTTGAATAATTCAACTCATTATGAGCACCACGAGGACTTAATCGCAGCACACGACCACTTTTATCGTGGAACAGAAGTAAGTGCATGGGCGTATATTTTCCTATCATTTTTTAGACTGCAAACTGGGGATAGGCAATGAAGTTTTTCGTGATTGGGTGCTGCATGACATACCAGTCTTCTTACAACAAGGGGACGCGTGAGAGTGTCCCCTAGACTTTTTCTCCCCGATATTCTATCCTTGTAACCAATTGGGTTAGTTTGGAAAGGTCAAATAAAGTTCCTACAAACACACCTCACTTCAAGCCCCCGCAGTCGAAATAAGATTTGTCTAAAATCTTTCAGTGTCTGTGAGACTAAATCAAGAAAAATGTAAAAGCGAGAAAGCTTAAACCATTTAACGTTATGACTTGATCCGTTCAGATTTTTTGGCTTTATTGGGATTTTCCTCCTTTTCTATTAATGCGCACTCATCTTTCATCCATTTTCAGAAAGTTAAGATGAAGTAAAGAGAACAATCCTCAAAAGTGTCTTTCTATCGCATTAATTTAGTAAATCAAAATGACGGTTTGGAGCAACATTACAGACAACTAAAAATCCTTCACGTTATATTTTCCAGAATGCTTGCGGTGGCTCACCCTGCAAGAACAATGCAACTTGTCAATCTGGTTTTACAAGCAAAAGATATCATTGCCTATGTGCACCTGGATTTATAGGCCATAACTGCGGACTTGGTAAATATTATACTCTGTTATAAGAAACATACGCTAGCGATAACGTTATCATAATGCTGTTATTTCACACACAGCACAAATAAAATATACGATCTTTACAGAATACAAATTCGCAGACGCATAGAAATGAAAAGTGCGTGAGTAGGACAAGTAAATGAAAGAACTTACGCCTTACATTAAAACCAAAGGCGGTCGAGGGTTTGCACAACTGTCGCGAATTCGTTCAACTCTTCTTTTGTTTAGAATGGGTTACGTAAAAAAAAGACGTAAAAAGTCCTCTTTAGCTTAAGCACGTATTAAGGCTATCTGTTCGATTTTTCTGACTAACAACTCAGTATAATAGTCACAAAAGGATGCTGACATTCCACGCTTCATTCTGTAAATAACATTGACATGATACACTCAGAGAGGACTGTCTCAGCTCATTAACCTCATTTCTTATCAATTCTATTTTTAGAATTTTCAATCAATTCTGTGATACTGTTGAACAACGAAGATTACCTGAGCCATCTCCATCAATTTCTTGTTCCAGCTGTTGGAAATGCTTCTCATTGGTTGCTGTGTTATCGGGCTTCCCGTGATTCGCATATAGATCAAGACTTTCGCGATCAGTGTAAGGGAAAAAAGGACACCATCACCATTGTAAAAGAGAATGGCTTTGTATTTGGTGGTTATGTCGACATACCATGGGGTAAATTAAACCAACAGCTACTTGCTTCTTTTTTTTTTCGCAAATTTTAATGTCTATCTAAATTCAGTGATTTACTACAATCCGAGACAAGTCTTAGAAATTTTAGGAAGTTCGCACTCCTTTGCCTTGACCATGCAGATGAAGTTATATGTGTTATGATTGAGTATCAGAAAAAAAAAAGGTTTATCTTTACAGGTCGAGTTTGCGCACTTTAATCCAATAAAAGATATAAGGAAAATAACTGACTATCACGCGCAGCTAGCATACACACATTTGTGGAATGTCAAATCCCAGTCAAACCTAGCATGCTCCAGACCAATGTAATAAGACACCCAACATGTTCATCTTCTTTAGTTTGGCCAACAAATTATGAGTTACGCTTTTAAAGGCCTGGCTCACAATAGAGTCCCTGTTCCTCAATGGTAGAACATTGGAGCGCGGAATCCAAGGGTCTGAGATTTAATTCCACGGGGGGTCTAACAATCTGTTCCTTGTCCCACGCTCATGACAAGACAAAAAAAATATTTCCTCAAGTTGTGAGTTGTTTGTTAGTGCAATTAATGACAATTTGCCCCAGCAAGTGTTACTAACATAATTTCTTTCATTATTATTTCAGTGTCCACTCGCAAATTTCAATATGGCGAGACACCCAACGCATTCATCTTTTCTTTACACAACAGCGAACATTGTGGAGCTTTTAAAAGCACGATAAAAAACCCAGAGAGGGCCATCTTCGATCACATATACCTCAGACCAACATTCGGAACTGATGACATCCGAATAGATAGAAACGACCACCTCCAGTCAGTCGCAAATTTTAGTAATGATTACTTTCTACCAAGTAAGGTCACTATTCAAAACCCCCAAACCATCTTGGCAGGTGTTCTACATTTTAAGCCTGACGAGGTCGAAGTTTTCTACTTAGAAAAGAAAACCCAACCGTAGAACAAAAACGACTCTGAATACAATAATTTTTAATAATAATAATAATTTTATTATTTCTATAGCGCAAAATTCATTAGATATATGATCTAATGCGCTTTACAAGTTGAAAAAGGAAAACTAACTATGAAAATATTGTTTACAATCAGTGATATCATTATTACTTTTGATATAGTACTTATATATGACTTTATATAATAGATAAAATTGACAAATGTGGCTAACTAACAATGTAGTATAATAATAAATTGTCAGATAGATAAAAACTGTAAAATATCCAAAAATATGCTTCCCTAAAATTAGGTGTCTTTAATTGTTTCTTGAATAAAGCAATAATGCCAATATTCCAAAGGCAATGCATTCCATAAGACTGGAACAGCAACCGCAAAGGCTCTGTCTCCAGTCGTCTTGGCTGATTTGATTTTGGGCCTTGCAAGAATGTGGTTACCAACAGACCTTAGGTTATAGATAGACTGTTTAGGAGATAAAAGACTAGTAATATATGCAGTTGCAAGACCGTGTACAGCTTTAAAGGTAAATAAGATAAGTTTAAAAATTATTCTAAATTTTACAGGCAGCCAATGGAGGTCTACCATGACAGGTGTGATATGCGCGCAGCGTGGCCTGTTTGTGAGAAGTCTCGCGGCTGCGTTTTGCACGCGTTGTAGTTTATTCGTGTAGATAGCCGGTATACCATATAGGACTGAATTGCAATAACCCAGGCGGCTGATGACTAATGCTTGAACTAACGTCTTTGTAGCTTCAAATGATAAAAATTTACCTATACGTCTTACATTATAGATATAGTAAAACGCCGACTGGCATGTCTTGTTATTATGTGTTTGAAATTGAAACTTAGAGTCAAATCAAACACCATTTTTTACAATGTTGTTTTTCTTTTACAATAAGTGTTTGTTAGTTAAAAGGTGAATACTGGACCTCAAGGTCTCAATTGGGTTAACTGTTAGCCGTAAAAAAAGAGAAAAAAAACTCGCCGTTAGTCGTAAAGAAGAGAAGAGAAAATGATCGTCCTATTATCATTATTTTCTCTTAGATATCCTAATCATTTAGTGGTCTAATGTCTGATTTGTCTTGCAACGCTGGGTTTGAAAATTCAATTATTTACAGAAACAAGTAGTGGGCAATGTTTGTGAGTGGTCTTTTTGAATCAGGTCACTCCTTTTCCTCTAACCCATGACTATCGATGAGAATTAACTAATTAGTAGATATTAGTTCAATATAATTTTTAATAGGCAAGTTATCATAGCGAAAAAGTGCCAAATATTCGATCGGGTGATTAAGCTGCCCCATTAGATTGTTAAGATCGACGAAAGCCGCTTACTGTTTACAGAAGTTACACTTAAAACAAGGAACGTAGTTGGACAATTTTAAATACGTATTAGGCTACGATATGAGTTCTCTTTTTATGGAGCTCATTAGGATAATCAATCAAATACTATAAATAAACTCTTAATCACACATTCAACAATAGAATGAAAAGTGAAATCAGAATGGAAGCCGAGAGCTTGGAGCTGAAAATCTTAATCAACCAGTTGATTATATTGAATATATCAACAGAGTTGAAGTGGTAAATTGGCCACCGTAACGATTACAAAAGCTGACGTTTTGAGCGTTAGCCCTTCTTCGGAGCGTCGGAGCGTCGCAGTCCCAAAGAGTTTCTTTCGAAACTATCAGCCTTTATTCAGTTGATTATATTGTTATGTCTTCAATTACGTTAATAGCCCGTATCGTCTCAGCTGACGGATTCTAAACAACGGCACGCGTCAACAATATTACACCATTCAGAATGCATTGTGTCTACAAGAATGCATATCAAACAGTGCCACCCACATGTTTTTCTCATAGAGCTGTCGATCAGGTTAAAAGACTGCATTGTCTGAGCTGACAAGTGCTCATTAACGGCGCGTGTCACCAATTACTCTAGTAAGGCTGCATAATTGCTGCAAGAATGCTTACTACGCAACTTGCTTGCCACGCACCATTTGTTCTAGGCTTGCGGAGTCAACGTTCACGCTTCTAGCCGAATTTCTTGTGATAAAATTGGGAAAGAAATGAATATTGGAGCTCTAATATTCTTGTTTCTGTTAGTTTTTGTGCTTCTTTTGCAGTGTTGGTTTTTGTACATTTTTTGGCGAGTGAACAGTTATCATTTCCGTTGGTGGTCGCTAAGTCAATTCGGAGCTAACCTCAACTTGTCTCATCCAATTCAAGAGGAACTTCGGGTGTTGAATGGTAAGCCGAAATGAGTTAAAGACAAGGTGTGTCAACTCTTACCAGTTATGAAAACACAAGCCAGCAATAACGGATTGATGTTGATGGAATGAAGTGAAAGCTGTTCAACCAGTTTGTTTTAAAATACACATAAGTAAGCTATAGAAGGTTACGCGCTTGTCACTTCTTCATGAGTTTATATCTGCTATGTATTTGTGCTTTAGGTGGTCATTGGGTTTCAATAACAGTTTAATGTAAGTTTCACATTAGGATCTTGTGATTCAATGTGGCACTTTCACGTACATGCTAATTCGTTTAGCCACTTCAAGCAGCTGAACAGACTCCCTTCAACCCACCCGCGGTGTAAATTTTAAATTCAAATTTACTTCCTTTCAGAAGCCTACGAGGGAATACCGGAGGAAGTTTGACGATTTTAGGGAAAATCAGGAAGACTCAGTTTCCTTTAACAAACGTTATATGGTCCTGCTACTTATACCTTATCGGACAGCTTTCTAGTCAAGAGAGATGAGCAAAATACTGACTTTATAGTGGGACACCCGTCATTGTAGTTGCCACAGTCGAATAAACTCAGTCGGTAGCTGGTTATTACTATTGTTCCGCTTCACGCTCACCTGATTTAAAGTAATGCGAACGAGCTAACATAACCGAAGGAGACTCTGACGACGCTATGACGAAAGGCCAATGCTCGGAGCGTCAGCTTAAGAAGTTCCTTACAGTGGCTAAAACCATGTATTGATAGACCCCTAACCGACCCTTTTATGAATGAAACTTTCGAGGAAGAACTCAGCAAAGTTGCTTATGTTAAACTTTTTCTGTATCCAGTTGAATTCGTTAGAGCGTGGTCAGACGCAGACTTCCCACGCAGCAATCACGCAGTGTTTCGGACTACGCCGAAAAATCCGAGTGTTCATGTCGTGTAATATCTATGATTGATGTCACAAAACAATTTCTAGTTTCAAATTTCTTTGTCTGAGTAACTGCGGTTTCTGTAAAAATAAAATGAAGATACTCAAGGCCTGGCGTTATTGGATGACTCGCTCTGATTTATAGTCAGTTTGCAAACAGTTCCAGTACAAATATTTGTCCGCTTAAACAATGGCTTGATAGTTGTGACAAGAGTTCGTTGACATCAGAGAAAAGATTTGCATTTTATTAACTGCATCACTCAAAATTGTTGACGAAATTTCAGTCTCTTGATATATCACTATGCATACAGTCCTTTGTTGAAAGAAAACTGTTTTCAGGAAAGTTTAAAAGTTTTTTTCTATTTTTGAAGATGATAAAAACTAGCGATATCAAATAAGATTGAATTGAAGTCTTATTTTTGTCAGTCACAACTTTGAAAACTCACTTTTTAAAACCGTTCCAATAAATTTGTTAGACCTGCATATTCACAATAATTTATTGGAGACAAGCCAGTCAGCAGCCCGAAGTTTGAAATAAACCTTTTCAATATTTGAGACGTGATGATCATCTGTGAACCAGTATTGTTTCTCAAGTCATTATAAATAGTACATATTCGCTTGTGTTTTCCAAGTCTCACTAACATTAAATTTCAAACCCAGGATCTATCATTTCAAAGTCTTTACCGAAATATAAATCTAATCCACTATGCATTGTGGCCATGATGAGTTGTGGGTAGGTGTTAAAATAAACTTGAATGAATTACTCAGTTGATGTAGGCTGCTTCTCGATGAATGGTGCACTCATAAATGTTCGCTCTTAAAAAGATCTCTTAAAAAGATCTCTGTCACGAGGCCAAGGGAAGATTCCTGTTTTCTACTTTAAACACTTTATTGGTCTACGACCTAACTTAACAGTGATATCTTAAACTTCTGAAAAGCCTACTTAAGCTGACGATTTCGAACCTTATTTATAGTAGCCGATTACGTCATACCTAATTCTAAAAACACTATTTTTAGCAGTAAGAAGATTCTAGACGCTAATGATGACATATCCTTAAAATAACTGAACAGAATGTTCCAGAATAGGCAGAAGTTCCTCGCACAGCTTACAAAAATTCCGATGCGATAATTCAATGTTCCAAATCGTTTTCTTTATTTCTGGAAGCTTCGTTACAATCTCTCATAAGGTTCGCGGACCGATCCGAAAACGCTCGCCATTTTTCGGTGTGGTCAACCGCGAACGCTGTGTGTATATTTTGTGAGCGTTTTGAGTTTATTATAAACAGTATCTGTGCTAATTTCGCACTACGAAAACGTCTCTTCTTCCGCCATTACACCATGCTGAGTGCTTATCAGCCAAAACGTCGCGTGCGTCAGAGTCCGAACGTCGCGCATGCGTGTTAAGGACTTGACTGCGATTTGCGACCGAACGAAAAAATCTCAACTCGAGCCTTATAGCAGTTATAAGAACGAAAGCCAATAATAACGGATTAATGTTGATTAAATAAAGTGAAAGCTCTTCAATCTGTTTGGTTTAAAATACACATGAGTAAGCCGTAGACAGGTACGGACTTCTCGATCACCTCTTCATCAGTTTATATTTACTATTTACCATCTATTTTTACTTATGTTGTCACTGAGTTTCACATTCGGATCACGTAATTCAATATACATCAGTCTCAGATACATAACGAATTCGTTGAGCCACCTGCGGCAGCTAATTAAGCACCCCCTCAACCCACCAGCGGCTGAAAATTGGTAAGTCAAATTATTTAAGACAAAA